TGCGTTGTGGCGTTGCCGCATCGGCATCACGGCGGACGGTGACTCAATTCCGGCGCCTTGTATAAAGCCGCGAACTGACGATGGTGCGGGTGCGGGAGGCCGTTTGCGTTAATAATTTGAGGAATAACGCTTTCACTCGATCTGTGCCGTGAATTGAAACGCTGCTCACTGTGGGTCACCGCACTAGCTACGATCAATGTGTCATGGGCGCTGGGCTGCTTTGCTTCGCGAGTTCGAGTGGGGAAGCCAAACGGCGGCGGCCGTCCCCGATTGAATGTACACAAGTTTTTCTTACGTACTTGTATTCTAATCGGCAGAATCGCAGGGTGGCGTACCCTGTAGATCCGCTCCTGTTTATCGTTCGAGAATCATGGGACCTGATGCTTAATATACACATATGTTAGAATCTCGTCATACTCCTCCCGTCGCGACTACGCTCCATCCAACTGCTACGGCCACTACCGAGGTCCGTGCTGCCGATGAGCTCCGCATCGGCGACCTCTGCGCCGATGTCGAGCTCCACAACGATGAGCTCCATTCGTCCAAGTAGCAAGGTGACATTGCGCTTTGCGCTAAAAGCGTATATTGCAAATGTCTGTTTTAAGGATTTCATGTCTCAGAGTTATCGCCCAGTTCGTTTGGGCTTGTTTGGCTGATAAGCCATGGCTGAAAGTACTGTTGGCTGATTTGGTGTGAGAGAAAAATATTGTTCGTTGGCTGAAAAAGTACGGCTTATAAGTCAAACAAGCCCAAACGAACAGGACGCATATTGCAAGGGTTTCGTAAGGATGTTACAAAAGTAGATCGGGATGTTGCATAGCTGTAAACGTATGTTACAAACGCGTGTTCCCAATGTTTCATCAGTTTTTTCCGACGTATGTTGCAGATGTTAAATATATTTTCACATATATGATGCAAATGTTTCATCTGGATGTTGCGCATGTCTATAATGGTTTCAAGTGTTGGTTAGGTGTTTTTGCAAGTGTTTTAGACGTAAATTTCAGATGTTTCATTTGTTTCCAGTCGTATGTTGCAATTGTTGCATCTCGATGTTTCAAAACTAGATCGAGTGTTGCGTCTCCCTCCTCGGTCCTCGCCTTTCTGCTGTCTCGCCTCGGTGTTAGGCATGGGAAGGCGGACGAGCCCCACGTGCTTGCGGGCGAGCCCAACAGGCTAGACGTTGGCGGGCAGACACGGGACACGAGACAGGGGGCCAGCGGCACGAGCGTTTGGACGGAGGGCTAACGTCTGGACGTCGACGTCCAGGAGCTAGCCACGCCCTTTTGGCATTGTGATGGTAGATGCTCTCAGTCCTGTGCATGGGTGAGTTAAAATGGATTTGGGTGGATTATGTGGGTGGAATTTCTTTAACTCGCTAGCTAGGTCCATGTGTAATCTAGCTGGATTAGGTCTTATTTGAATGTCCATATATTAACACACATAGATTGAGGTGGATACATGAGTATAAAAAATACATGGATAAAAAAAACACGTTATCTTGTTTGGTGGGCTGGTTTGGACCGGATAGATCACATGGGTCGCAGTGGCTTTTCTAAATGCCAGCGCTTGCGGCAAGACGTGCGGGTGCCCGCCGGAGGCCACATGCAAAGGATGCCAGAACAACATGCAAAGAAACAACAAATGCAGACTTATATACATAGCATGACAACATAATGTATATGGGTATATAAACAACTCAAGAGCCAATGCAGAACTTCTCTGGTTCGCAAATATGAAAATAAGCTTAACAACTGCTCCCAAGTAGTCACAATTAAACATAAATCTGAGAACAAGTATGACAACTGCTCCCATATAATGGAATTAGAGCTTTTGGATAGCAGCATCATACTCTTAACTGAGCTACAAAATCCAGGCACTCCTTTTTGAACTGCGACTGACCACAATCAAAGCTTCACTCTGCTCCCACAAAGCTGGATTGTGCTTCAAACATTGACCACACAAAAAGTGCTGAAAATGCAAAGTAACAAATTAGAAAATACTTGCAGCTACAAATAGAACTGTACTCCTTCCATCCCAAATTGTAAGTCATTCCAAGAATCTTGGAGAGTCAAACTTTTTCAAGTTTGACTAAAATTATAGAGAGAAACACAAAGATTGATGACATCAAATAGGTATAATATGAAAATATAACTAATGAAGAATCTAATGATACTTACTTGGTATGATAAATATTATTATTTTGTTATATAAATTTGGTCAAACTTGAAAAACTTTGACTCTCCAAAATTCTTGGAATGACTTACAATTTAGGATGGAGGGAGTACATTGACTTTTGTCATATCTCTACACTGCTCAAGAACAACACGAATTGAAATCAAGCCCGAATTGATGGAAATAAAACTGAACATACATATTTTATTCTATTGCAACATGAAGAAGGAAAGAAAATACAGATTAAACTTAACATGGATACACCCATCTCAATGCTCAGGATCATTTCTTTGCAGTACAGGGGAGAAGGATGTGCTTCCTAACAACTCTCATAACCTGATTCTTTTGTAGTAATTCTGCCAGGGCAACCACACTACAAACACACCAACACCCACAACACTTGCAGTGGGAAGATAAGAGGCACTACAAGTAACTTATCATAGTACCATATTGTTATTGCTTGTTCATGGAGTTCTTTCCCAAAATTTCTGCAGTAAGTAAAAGAGAAATGTTAGTGACTACTTCTGTAGAAAAAAAAGGAGCACTGCACAACGTACAACAATACCTTTTCTTCAGTTTCCTCATAACTCGTATGATTGAATTTCTTCCACAATTTTTCAAATGTCAACAATGCCTGAAGGAGAGCGCAGCCCTTTGTGTATCGGTTAAAGCTTCAACTATGCTAACTGATAGTGAAGTTCGAATGAATCTAGAATTATTCCTCCTATACTAAATGAAGATCCTGAAGCTATCGTAGAAACATGTGCTGCTAAGATATCATTTGGTAACTTAGATACATATATGTTCTGATTGTCATGATAGTTGAACGGCATATAACCAGAGCTGATCCACTAGTAAATGCATCATGAGGCAAAGTAATAATAGGATGATCAACTCTCTTTCCCTTTAATTTATTGAACCTTGACATGATCATATATTCATATTCATAGCATGATATATAAAAGGGGTAATTATTAGTTATTACATCTGCCTTTACCTCGGATTTGGATGTAGATGCAGGAGGAGCTCCAAAGATAGGATCTTTAACCTTAGTGATATTACCCCACCAATCTGCTGAGCAACTTGAAAGATCAGCTTTTAAATTGACAGCCTACCTCTCCTGTAGCAGGTTGCAAAGTTCATTGGGGAATCCCTCAAACTTAGTAGGCACGGTATTGCTCTCTTAACAATTGGGTCGGTGAAAAATTGACCATCACTACGTCAAATATGATTTCCAGGGGTAGCTAGCTACAGTGCATTTGTAAGGGCGGTTCGGCCAGCCGCCCCTACCATACCGTCTCTACAAATCATGCATTTGTAGGGACGGTTCCCAGACCGCCCCTACAAATCGATTTGTCAAGGCGGCTGGTGTTATCAGCCGCCCCTACAAATCGATTTGTAGGAACGGCTACAGTACCAACCGCCCCTACAATGTATTTTTCCGCCAAAAAAATCAAATTACCAACACGTGCTCCCCCAAATCAGATCAGAAAAGACAGAGCTCATTATATTTTTAAAATACAATGACAATGTACAAAATGAATGACAAGCTGCACATTGAGTGTTGAAACCCATTGCGTTTTAGAATACAGAGAGAAGTCACTGTAAGGCTTCATCAGACATTCATCTGTGAAATTCTTTTACAATTGTGTCTTCACCAACAGAAGACGTCGGAAGCAGGTGTTTGTCATTCAAGTCATCTTCATCAAAGTTATCATTGCTGGTGGTGTTGGAACCATCTAAATTCATAGACAACAATATGACATGAGACTAGATAACAATAGGGCATAAACACACCAGAATGGACAATAGTACAATGTATAGACATGAAAAATGACTGCAAGGAGATCTATATGCATGATATTGTCAGTTATAAATAGCATGAGAAACCACCAGTTATGATAGGAAATAGAGAACACCAGAATCTACCTGAGAAACGACAGTCTGCAAGATGCTTTGTCTCAGTTGACTCAAGCCGCATGCTTTCTGGTAGAAGGCTGAAAATAGTTTGGATTATCCTCCATTGTAAGATATTGGAATTTTCATCCCAATATGTGTGTTCTTTTGCAACAAAAAAAAGTATATGTTTTGATACGAAGTTACAAACCAACCTAATAGATTCATGTGTTTCATTTGTCAGTGACTCAGTTACATCCAAAAATGCAATTCAAATCATGGGAGATATTGACATCAAATATTAAGGCTTATGCTTCTGATGTTTTTCACTTTCATAATGGGGCCATACATGCCCCGTGAGGAAAAAACTCTGGTCGGTATTTGCCTATAATCTGGACAAGACTAGTAAGAAATGTATTGCGTGTGGCAAGGATAACTAGTTATCATTGATCACAACAGATCATGTATGAGTTTCACAATATTCCTTTCAAAGACAATATATAGAGGAGCACATGTTTGAACTGGACAAGACTAGTAAGAAATGTATTGCATGCTTGCAGAGCTGGAGAATGATTGAACTGCTAATGTTGTATATTTCTTGGCTGTAATAAATCACCAGAAACTTTCAAAGACAATATATAGAGGAGCACATGTTTTATTACCTAGCCTTGCAAGTCGATTGACCCAACCAGGAATTGGTTTTCCTGTTAATCTGGTGCTAAGATCATCCGTAAAGTGGTTACAGTTCTTAGAAATGAGGTGCTAAGACCAAATAACTGGATTGCAGATAGTAATACTTAGAGAGTGGTGCACTTTTCAAGAACTTGCACATTGACAAATTACACTTTCAGTTTCTTTTTCTTTTAGAAGAGAATACAATAGAAACTTAATTGGCATTAACCTTCGCATTTGGCATGTTTGGATAACTTAGATCAAGTTGCTTCCATATCAAGTCTTTCATCCAATTCTGTACACTGGTTAATCAAATCTAAGCATAAATCACAACTGAATTGGAAACAATAAACGCAAAGCAAACTTTGTTTAAACAGAGAACAGTGGAAGCAATAGCAAATAGCTCAGTACCTATTCTCTTGAGTTCCCCTGATTGCAACAATTATCGAATTCAGATTATGAGCTACACCAACAAATGCCTGTTACATTATTCATCCAAACAACGGTAGGTAAAGGGAAGGGTATGTCTTGAAAAGCTTGATGGGTTTGATAGCACAGAGACATACAATTTCACAGAAAAGTTATAAGAACTTAATTCAAAATGTGGAGGGACAGGTACCTGCAAGCAGTTCTCCACATCAACAATTAGAGATCTCATCTCAAAGCCCTATTTCAGCAATACGAAACCATATCAAAACTAGAAGCCAGCTTATCTTGTCCCATAGCCATTTTTAAAAACAACTTTATGTTTTAAAGTATTTCAGTAAGCAGAAGAGAACAAACTTGACAGTCTCTTACTTGAGTCAAGTCATTGCATCTTGAGCATGTCCACGTAAACAGCGCAGTTAAATCTGTCATATACACCTAGAGACAACAGAGAATCATGAGATTAACCTTTGACACAAAAGGTGGAAGGACTTGGAAATTGTGAATAATCAGTGAAAAACAAAATCTGCCAAAAAAACTAGGGACAACCACTACCTGGCAATTCCATCAGATAGTTGGTAGGTGTCCCTTTTGTCTATGGCCCTATGTAAAACTACAGCATTTGAGATGTTTGCAAATGCAATGACATGCTTATTCCACTCATAGCACAATCGATGAAAATAAGATAATTATCTTGTTTGTTACGGACTATTAAAGCTAGCTTACTGTCGAAATCATTTTGATGCCAATTTATATACAACAGCAACCCAACAAGCATAAGAGAATCGCACGGAACTACCTCTTCCATGAGAACCAGCAGACAGCAAGAGTAGGAGAGCCACCACGCTGGCGCCCAGGCTCCATCTCTCCATGAACCTGAACCTGCAGACGCATCCAAGCTGAATCTCAATCGGCTGAAGCACCAGAGGAACATCAATCACACAAACCGAAAGCGAGCAGACCAATTCTTTCTTTTTCTTTTTTGAAAGAAAGCGAGCAGAGCAATTCCACGGCACGGAGCCTCCTTCAGAATCAATGCGAGGAGAATGTGCAGCAGCAGGCAACGATTCCAGAACTAAACGCACGATCAGAATAAAAAAGCTTAGGGGCGAAGGATTGACCTTCCGGGGACGTCGAGGGGCGGCAGGAAAGAGAGGGGCTGGACAAACCGAAATGGGAGAAACTGGAAGAAGTGCATGAACAGCACTAGAGCGCTCGGCGCTCGTAGTGTTGCCTCCCCGCGACCCACATCGAAGAACAGCAGAACGACGAACGGAGAACCAACTGCACGAACAGAAAAACAGCCGACCATAGGAATCGACGAAAACCAAACCAAATCAAAAGGATTTGATCCCTAACTTTGCACAGGCCATCACAAGTGGGTTAGTGAGGATACTCCAAGAGATCATCGCCCAATTTCTACCCAATCTCCGGGAAATTTCATATCGAGCCAAGAACACGTAAAAGTCTCCCAAAACGAAAATCGTTGATTTCTCTGTGCTCGAGTCGATTCAATCAAATTAACTCTTAGGATAGCTTCAAATCATGTCATAGCACGAATCAACGCAAAAAGAACGAATAGATTTGGTCTCAAATCGACGAAACGAAAAATCCCCTAAAATAGCTCCGAAAATCACAGCAAAAGGAAAAAAGTCAGATTTGGAGAGGAGAACAAGTGCAGCACTACGAGCCGCGGGTCTAGAGCTCGTCGGCCGGACTGGGGGGGGCTGCCGCGCCGCGCGGGCGGGCGAGGAGCCGCGGCCATCCGAGCGAGGGCGAGAGAGGGGGGGAAGGGAATGGAAGAGTCGAGACGGAGAGAGAGAGAGGAGGAGGGCTGCATATATTTTTGGGTGGGTGACTTATTCACTGTATATGGGGCATTTTAGAAGAATTTCAATCATCAGCCGCCCCTACAAATAAAACACCGAGGCGGCGATGATGAGTGAGCCGCCCTATAAATCGACTCCATTTCAGAGAGCATTTCGATCATCACCGCCTCCTCTTTGTTCCATTTGTATGGTAATTTGGTCTCTCGGCCTCCCGAAAGACGTCCTTTGAGGGGCGGCATCATCAAACCGCCCTACAAAAAAATTCATGTCGTTGCTACAAACCTTTTTTTCACGTAGTGCATGACCTTGTCATCAAACATCTTGATAATAGATTGCCCTTTTTAATCCTTGCAAAAGTAGGATGTAGCACAATAATAAATAAGATTGCAGGGGATCAATACCATATGCGATCAGCCTTTTAGGCAAGATGCAACAATGATGGCAAACACGAGAATCATAGATAAATCAAAAAAATTGCCTAGGGCAGAACGGTTTGGCTATAGGGTAAAGCCCAAACCATCGTGAGTCGCTAAAAGGTGTGTTGATGACGCTAATTAGGTCACACATCGGTAAAGAGCTAGATCATTCGGTAGAGGTGAGCCAAGATCTCTCGACAAGAGCACGATACATAAGGCCCTAGCTAGCCTGACCGTTCTAGAGTTTCATCGTCATTGATCAACAGCAATGAAGAACGAGGAGCAGTACTAGATTGGAAAAGTAGGGTAAAACTTGTATTAGATTGGTTTTTATCGATTGGATAGATCAATCTCTCAAGTTGTTGTGATCCTCTCGTATAAATAGAGGGTGTGGTATTATCCAGTAAGAAACCTATTCCGCAGTTCACAAGTTTCCACGAGATCGGAGTTTCTAACAAGAAAATAATGATTTGGCCTCAGACTGCCAAAAATGGCCTGGACCGGTTTGCACAGCTTTGCACAGGAGGCCAGCCAAAACCTTTATGGGCCGGTTGAGCTAGTTAGTGCACAGTCTCAGCCCAAACTGACTTGGGTCGGTTTTTGCAAGGTTTACCCAATTTTGTTGATTTAAATGCAATTTGATCCGAACTTGATTCCTTCAATCCAAATTTAATTTCCTTATCCATCTTCAACTCTTCCTATCATATTTTGACGCCAACTAAACCAACAGTAGAAAACATTTTTTCATGGCGGTCTTCTTAAGCCCAATGTCTATATAAATCATTTGTAGAGGCAGTTGACTTAAAAAAATTGCTTCTCAAAATCATTCCAAAAAATTATCATTTATATGAGAACTTATTATTAATATTTGGGCACCTAACAAATTATCTTAAAAGAAAAAATCAACTAGATCACGTCAAGCTTTACAATTTTGATTTAAAGCTTGTTTTCATTTGACTTTGTATGAAAAAAGCTATGTACCATCAAGAAACATATTTCTATTGATGATCATCGCTCATGACAACCTCCTCTCAAAAAATGGATTTTTGCGGCGGATTTTAAGCATCCACACGAGAGAAATACCTTTATGTAGGTAGTTGTTTAAGAAAACCGCCACCCGAAATAACCTATTCTTGGAGATGGTTGTCTTGAGTTGACTAAACGCCGCTAAAAACAGATTTCTAAGAGCATCTCCAAGAGTTTCCAAAACCCACTCCCAATCTTGATTTTTTGGCAAGATTAAAAAAATGCTCTCTAACAACTCCTAATCTTTCCGCACTTGGGAAAATCGACCCAACCGCGCAAAAATATAGGAGAGTGTATCGGTCAGCCAATATATCTAGAGGTGGAAGTGCATGGGGAGGAATAAGGACAAGGACATAGTTTCCAAATCAAATGTACAAGGACAAGGACATAGTTTCCAAATCAAATGTACAAGAGCGAAAGAAAGTATAAAAGTAGTTGGTGTAATTTGAAAATAATCTAGGATTTGTAATGTAAAATTTTCTTCTAAATTTTAGAAGCGAGATTTTGGAAACTGTTGGAGAAACCCAACTTTTTTAGCCACTTGGAAAACTTATCAATTTACCAAATGATGTTTTAGAAATTATTGGAGCATAAAGGAACCAATTGTTTGTAATAGGGAGAACAACTGTGAAAATTGTGGCAGTGTTTGTACTAACTGGACCAAAATCTGGAATACATAGACCGAGGTCTAAAATATGATGATGTGAGTCCGAGTCCTTGCCCTAAATCCAAGAGTATTTGATAGGGATGGATCTGGATGTCTAAATACCCGAAAGATTGGATATTCATATCCGTTTTAACATCAATATGGATATCTGTATTCGTACCAGATTTTAATATGAATGTTAAATGGATGTATTCGAATTCAGTTTTATGATCATCCTCTATCCAACTTCAAATATGTATTAAAAAATGTGAAATATCTCACATTATCTGTATTCATGAAGAACAAAATACCATCTAAAACTTAAATTTATGACTAATTAGTAATGTAAATGACAATTATTCTTAATATAAATCGTTTAAACTATTTAAAAGTTATCTCTATGAAAAATTAGGCCAATCATAAAGGTTAAGTTTAATTTATAATAATTTTAATATAAGTTAAGTTTCACTATAAAACTTATATTTATGATAACTTTAAAATTATAATTAATAACACATAAAGGTTAAGTTTAATTAACTTAATGTGACTAATCATAATAATTTTAAGCACTCTAGTTTATTTTTATATTTATAAATTTTTTTATATATTTAACTTTACTTTTAGATAAATATTTATGTGTATTGGAATATTTATCTACACTTTGTTGATTTTTTTATATATTTGATTTGATTGTAGAAATATTTGTTAATATATATATATATATATATATATATATGTATGTTATCTACACTGTTTTCAAAATCTAATACTCAAATAGATATTCTAATATGAATTTGAATTCATTATCTGTTTTATATTCGTATATGATAATATCTATATATCTATTTAAATTTTAATTAAAATGTGATAAATAGTGCTATTTCAGAATCGATTTTCATAGGAATCCGACTCGAATCTATCCCTAGCATTATATATAGGACCAAAATTCCCTCCCTACATAGTACATACCCGTGGTGGTGCCACCTGCTTAGTTATAACAAACTTCCGTGTATATCCGTGGTGTCGCCCCGTGTAGTCATCTGGAAAAACCTAATTAGCGAAGGGCATATGTGATAATCGGCCTGTTCGTTGGTTGGTTTCTGAGATGATAAGTTCGGCTGGTACTAGTTTATTTTAAGAGAAAAATACTATTGGTTGGTTGATAAGCCCTGACTAAAACCAACGACGACGGCTTCGACGACGTCTGTCCAGGCATGCAAATGTGATGAAAAAGTGGCTATCTGCAAAAAGTACCTACGACCGGTGAGGCTGAGAGAGGCGCCACGCCGGCCAGCAACCGTGGAACCTTCGCTATATATATATATTGAGTGGATGCCGAAACGGATAGATGCCACATAAGCTTTGATTAAAATAGCACGACGCGGCCTGCAGTGAACAACACGGCCCATTTAATTGTAAAATGGGTGCCATGTGTTGGGTTTCTCGGCTGTTGCCGCAGTCAACTCGATCCATTGAATCGATCTGTATCTAATTTTCCGCCGATTGCAAGGCTCACTTTCACTCTACTACTAAAATCCAGTACCTGCTTTGTTTCACTCCACTGCGTACTAGATGCTTGCCTTTGAGAATAGCGTATCCTGTCATACTCCCTCCATCCCACCAAATTGTAAGACATTTAACTTTTTTAGCTTTAAGTTTGACCACTCGTCTTATTCAAAAAATTTGTGCAAATATAGTTAAATTTAAGTCATTTTTAAAGAATTTTTATTAATAAACCAAACCACGATGAAAGAAGTGATATTTTACACAAATTTTTGAATAAGACGAGTGGTCAAACTTGGTGTTAAAAAAGTCAAACGTCTTATAATTTGGGATGGATTGAGTATTATCTATCTCATTTGAGTATATTTACAGTTGACTTGACGCATACATACCGTAGTAGTATTACTGTACCACTAAATCGTTTGTACGTGGTACCAGTAGTAAGCTCTCGCCAGCCGTAAACCGTAATGGACCCTGCAGCTGCAGTGCAGGGCTTTCCCAGTAGTGCAAGCCG